CCACCCCACCGCCTCTCCTTCCTCTCCTGTCCCTTCTGAAAAGTCTATAGCCATCCATTGCAGCACTCCAATCATGAGAGTCACCCCACCATGTTTCAGTGATGGCGACTAAGTCATACCTCTCCCGCTGCACAATGGCTTCCAGCTCCTCCTGCTTGCCGCCCACGCTGCGTGCATTGGTGTAGATGCACTTGAGCTGGGCTATCGATTTCGCCCAGATTAGATTTAGATTGGACATAAGGAAGAAATTCTTTACTGTGAGGGTGGTGAGGCACTGGAAAAGGTTGCCCAGAGAAGTTGTGGATGTCACATCCCTGGAAGTGTTCCAAGGTCAGGTTGGATGGGGCTTTGAGCAACCTGATCTAGTGAAAGATGTTGCTGCCCATGGCAGGGGGTTGGACTGGATGATCTTTAAAGGTCCCTTCCAACTCAAACCATTCTGTGATTCTAATGCCAGCAGCTTGTGGATTCCTTGTAAAAGGACTTCCATTAAAGCAGAGTTACTGCTGATGCCAGATGCTGCACCTTGATGAATTCTCGTCCCCGTTACAGTGGCAGTGCTGGACCCCATGTTAACTGGGTGCAACAGAGAGGGGTGCAGGCTCTCTGGAGCTGCTCTGCGAGCCCCGCTGGCAGGGTGTGCACAGCAGCTGCCGCAGAGCTACCTCTGGAGGTCTGTGTCAGACCACGGTGGCATGTGGCACACACATCATCCCAGCAGTGTAAACACAGCCTGCTCTGGCCGCCTTCCATTGAAACACCAACTAACACAGCCAAAGAAAAGGTGTCTGTGCAGGAGCTGGGCAGGTGGTGCGGGGCATGTCTGGCCGCAGTGTGAGGAAAGGGAGACCAGGGCAGGCAAGGGACAGCTTAGCAGTTTTGAGGAGGCTGCAGCCTCCATACCCAGAGCTGGGCTGGGGCTGCAGCACTGTGTCCTGTGCTGGTGTCTCACTAGAGAGGAGATGGAAAAATGCAAGAGTGCAAAAGAGCCCCAGTGAGACCCAGTAGCTGCAAAAAGCCATTGTAGAGTGATACCTTTGAAGGTCTTGACCTGTTCAAGTGATCAAGGCGTGATCTGGGAATGGTGCAGCAGGTGTATAGGGGCTGTTGGTGGAGTCAGGCCAACCTGCAGACAGGACACGGGCTTTTCAAGGGGATGATGTGAGGGGGTCTGCAGTGGTGAGGGCTCCCTGAGTGTGTGTGGTTCCCAGAGAGGTACCCCAGGCTGAGTCCCCCAGGCCAGACTGTGCCTGGCAGGCACACCCCACTCCTGGACACTGAACTTGGGAGAGCAGTGAGGTGCCAGCTCTCCAGGGTGTCTCTGCTGGTCCTGCTCCACAGAGACCCCTCACATGCAGAGGGGCAACTAGCTCGTACATATCTGCTTCATCTGGAGTCACTCATCACAACAGTCAACCTTGCAGCCTGCATGTTTGGGCTACAAACAAGCTTGGTTCTTGATTATACAATTAGAAGCATAGCTGAAGAGAAAGGGAAAAGAAACCCACCCCAAACCTGCTTACACAAGATGCTAAGTGCTTCCACAGGTCTCACTGCAAGCCCTGAAAGAGCTGCTGCAAAGCTGCAGGGGTGGTTTGGCCTGATGGAGCCCCACAGCTGGACTCCAGGGCTGGGGCCGCCTGCACCCTTGGGGGGCCACGTGGAGCAGCAGACTGCTGAGCTGTTCCCTCCATTGCTCCAGCCTCATCCTCTGTCTCCTTGGCCATTTTGTTCTCAGTCTCCCCCAAGGATCCCCCTTCCTCCCCCGGAGGCTGCTCTGGCCACTTGCTCCATTCCTTGCTCAGGACATTGAGCTTTTCACCATCACAGGACTTTGTCAAGCGGTTAAAACAGGCTGTTTAGGCTAAACTGGTCCCTCCGACCCACTTTTTCAGCAGCAAGGGTGTTAACCCATCTCCCAGGAGACAACGTCCTTCTGGTCTCTGTGACTTTGTCATCCAGATGCATTATCTTTCTGGAGGTCCCTAAACAACGCAAATTATTGGGCTCAGCACTGGGAGCACTGGGTGAGATTTATGTCTCCATGTGGCTGTCAAAAGTACGCAGGGCAGGGCTCCCTGTGCAGGGGAAGAGCTGTGGCTCCGCAGTCTGGCAGGCTCTATGTGAGCAGAGACTAGAAGCCTGCAGGACATGGTGCAGCTTCGGGGAAGGAAAGGGTCCTGTGTGCCGAGGAGCTCTTGGTGTTGTGGGCTGGCACCTGTCCGGATGCCTCTTTGCAAAGAGCCCGTCTGGAGCCTTGGGTGACCCCTTGTCCTTGCTGCACAGGCTGAAACGCTGGGGGCTGAACTGCTACATGTACGCACCCAAGGATGAGCTGAAGCACCGGCTGCTCTGGCGAGAGCCCTACACAGAACATGAGGCAGGTAGCGGCTCTGCTGGGCCCCAGCGGGGGTGGGCTGCAGGCGTCCAGGGTCCTCGAGGGTGAAGCATGGTCTGCATATCAGCCAGGGTCAGGCTGGCTGTTATCACTCTTCCTGCCACGAACCTGCCCATTGCAGGGAGCCCCACAGGCCCTGCCTAGTGCAAGGAGACCCCCAGACCCTGCCTGGCACATGGAATCACCTGAGAGCCCACCCAGCATGGGGAGCTCCCCACATAGGTCTCTGGCAATATGCTCGAATTTGCCAGGGCCCATAGACCCTTGCGGAGAGTTCTCTGTGCCCCAAGGGACTGGAAACTGTCTCCCCTGGGCCTCTCCCCCCCAGACGCTCTCTCATGCCTCTCAATGCCCTCAGCTCCTTCCTTTCAGGCCACTGTGGTTCCCTCTCCCTCCATCCCTTTGTCTCCCTCCATCCCTTGCCTCCCAGTGCTCACAGTACCCCCTCTGCTTTGTCCCCAGCCCGCATGCAGTCTCTCATCGAAGCTGCCCAAGAGCAAGGTGTGGAGTTTGTTTTCGCCATTTCTGCTGGCCAGGACATGGTGTTTTCAAGTGCCGGAGATCGGCTCCTGCTGCAGCAAAAACTGAGGCAGGTACCGTAGGCCATTCTTTCATCCCACTGCTTCCAGGCAAGGGGCATGCGTGCTTGTGTGTGGGCCCCATGCCCACCCCAAAGGCTAGTGTGGGGCTGTTAGCCCCTCCTGCTGCTGTGCATCAGGGAGCAGCTCTGTGAGGTGCCTGGTGGCAGACGTGCTGTCTGTGTCACGGTGACAGAGAACCGAGGGCTCTGTGGATGCCTGACTGCCAGCAGACAGTGCTGGGGGCAGGAGAGGGACTGGCCAAGCACCAGAGCTTGCTGGGCAGCACCAGAGGCTGGTGCAGGCTGGTGCTGAGCTCCTCCTCCCTGGGGAGGGTCAAGAGCCACCGGCATGGTGGGTTTGCTCTGTGGGCAGCTGCTCCTCCCCGCGGCACAGCCCAGGCAGCAGCTGCCCTGCGCTGCGCCATGCCCGGCCACCTCTCCAGACGCCCCCAGCCAGCCCTGGCACAGGGAGCACCTGCCAGGGCATGTGTGAAGCTCTTCCTGAGGCTCTGCTGGCCTCTGCTCCTGCCGTGGGGCTCCCAGTGCTGCAGGGCGATGCGGGGGTGTGGTGCAGAGGGAGTGGACGTGGCAGGCAGTGAGCGGGGCTGCCTGGCAGCGGCATGGTGCGAGCAGGCTCTGGGCCACCACAGCATGAACTCTGGTTTGAAAGGGCTCCTGCCCCACGGCAAACATGGCTGTGCCCAGGGCTTGGACTGAGGTGGGCCGTGGCCATGGGGCTGGCATGCACCTGTGGAGCGGCCGGGTCTTGTGCACAGCATCCGCTGGGCAGGTGTGGGGGACACGGCAAGGGCTGCTCTGCCCACCCCGTCCATCCGCGTGCCCCATACCTCTGCTGTCTTTACGGGGCCCAGGCAGCAGGGGCTCGTCTGGGGCTTGCTGCCTCCTTTCTCTCTGCTGCCCAGGGATCCTAGCAGCCCGTGCCCATGCCCACAGGTGGCTGCCATGGGGTGCCACTCCTTCGCGCTGCTCTTTGACGACATCGACCCCTGCATGTGCCAAGCTGACAGAGACGTCTTCCCCTCCCTGGCGCAGGCTCAGGCCTCTGTGGCCAACGAGGTGTACCAGGAGCTGGACCAACCCTCCGTCTTCCTCTTCTGCCCTACAGGTACTGCCTGCAGCCATTCAGCCCCAGCCACGCCCAGTGCTTGGCCAGCCATGGCACCCCACAGCAGTCCGGGGTGCCCTTCATCTGGCTGCACCCAGCACCTGTTTCTGCTGAGACCTGACTGCCCTGACAGCCTCCATGGCTCCCCCCAGCCCCGTCATGCTCCTGCAGGAGCCCTGGAGATCTCAGGACTAGGACAGGACCAGGCTGCAGATGGGCTGGCGCTTCAGCAGCCATGCATGCTGTATTCCCTGCACCGCGCATCTCTCCAGCCCCTATCCATTGATCCCAGGCAGCCTCTTCTCTCCCAGTCTCTCTGCCCCTCAAGGGATGCTCTGCGCTCTCTCCCCAGAGTACTGCAGCTCTCTGTGCTCTCCCAGCCCCAGCCAGTCCTGCTACTTGCTGACCCTCGGCCAGGAGCTGCTCCCAGGGATCAGTGTCATCTGGACAGGTCAGCACCCAGCCCGGCTCTGTGGGGTGCGTGGCCCTGTGCAGCTTCTCAGTGAGAGCCAGCGTCCTCAAACCCTGCAGCCACGGGCTCCATCCCAGGAGAGGCGCCAGCAAGTGGCCCCGTCATGGTACCTTTCAGCATTGGGGTGTGCAGCCCCGGCCGGGCAGGCAGTGGGTTGGGATGTGGGTCTGCTCTCCTTCTGTCTAGGGAGGGTGGGGTGACTCGACCCTCATCTCCATGCTCAGTGCCCAGATGTGTGCATGTCCCTGTTGTGAGTGTGCATGATGGACTGTGCTGCCTGTGTGCTCCACACATGTCTGTGCCATGATGCTCCAGGCCCAAAGGTGGTGTCACAGGAACTCTCAGCCACACTGCTGGAGGAGGTGGAGGGTATCCTGCAGCGCCGCCCCATCATCTGGGACAACCTGTACGCCAACGACTATGACTGCAGACGTGTCTTCCTGGGCCCCTACACGGGACGTGCCCCTGGCCTCATGCCCAGGCTCCGTGGACTGCTCCTCAACCCCAACTGCGAGCTCCAGGCCAACTTCATCCCCATACACACATTGGGCAGCTGGTTTCGGAGCGAGCTGGAGAGCTGTGCCCACCGTGATCATGCAGGTACCTGGCCCCAGCACCCCAGGCAGCTCTGTACGTGGGGCCCCAGGGCCAGCAGTGAGCTTGTGCACCCAGAGCAGGGCCCTGCCCATTGCTGCCCATCTTTCCTGCATGGTAGCCTGGGTGAGGTGTCTCACCTGGCTGGGCACCACCTAACATCCCAGGGCATGGGATCCATCCTGGGGGCACCTCCTTGCGCGGGGAGGGGCTGCCTGCCTTCAGTGTGGCATGGGATAGCTCCATCAAGCAAAGAGTGGGGCTGTCCAGGCTGATGAGCTCCAGTTCCTTAGGGATGGAGACTGCGGCAGCCCTGAGGGACAGCCAAGGCCCACAGGAGGGGAGCTACAGCCCCCAGGAGGCCTTGGAGCTGGCGCTGCATGACTGGGTGGCTGAGATAAACCGGCAGGCCTTGGAGCCAGGTAGGTGATGAACTTACACTGTGTAGCATCCCTCATCCCCTCCGGAGTGCTGGTCCGGCTCTGCTGCGAGCTCAGTGGGGTGGGGGAGCCCCATGCCCTGCCCGTTTGGATGGTGTGCTCTGGCTGGTGTGGCGGCGGGGTCTGTGTGTGTTGTGGTGGGCAGGTGTGGGTGTCCATTGTGCCATGCTGCCATGGGTGCTCCTGCCCTGGCCGCATCCCAGAGGGAGGTCTCGGCTGGCAGCGTGGGAGCCTGGGCCATGATACAGCTCTGGAAGAGGGGGTTCAGCCAGGTGCAAGCTTGGTGTTTCGCAATGTTTGCCTCTGCAAAGCCTGTGGCCTCACCAGCCACAGAGGTCTGAACTCAAGAGCACAGAGCGATGCAAAGCCCATGGTCCTGGCAGCTCCCCAGTCCCTGCCACCTTGGAGATGGAGCTTCCCGGTACAGCTGCCTCCAGGGCTGTCCTGCCCCACGGGCAGCAGTTTCCATGCAGGTGCCAGAGGGGCTGCCCCCTTGCTCCTTTCTGCCAGGAGGAAGGACCCCGGGACACCCCAGCATCAGCCTCAAGGGAGGAACAAGGCTGCAGCCCAGCACAGCGGGAGGACAGGAGGTCATGCCCGATGCCCAGCCCCACGACTCTGTTCCCAGTGTTGCAGACCAGGATGGCCCTGAGCCCTGCAGTGTGGCACCAGGGGAGGGAAGGAGGAAGGTGACCTCAGAGCCCGAGAAGGCCAGTGAGAGCAGGACACCCACTGGCGGTCGGCAAAGCCCCAGAGGGGATGGGGACCAGCTCACCACAGGGAGCAGAGAGAGCTGTGAGCCCTCCTCTGCTCTGCCCAGCACAGCTGGGAGTGCCCAGTCCACAGGAACCCCGGTGGCTACCGAGACCCTCCACAGCCCAGGCCCCCCAATGTCCTGCAGCAATGGGGCCAACACCATCCAGAACCTTCCCCTACCCACCAGTGATGCCAGGACAGGGGGGGGAAGCTCCCCCCAGCCCCCCAGCAGTACCCAGACTGATGTCAGCAGGGCCAACATGCCCCAGAAACCCCCAGGGCCTGGGGCTTGCACCAGCCCTGGCCCCCCAGCGCCACTCACTGATGAGGTTGGTGCTAGCCCTGGCCCCACAGCACCATTAACCCCAGAGGAGACTGGGTCCAGCCCCATGGCCCTGCTGACCCTGGAGGAGGCTGGGTCTGGCCCCACGGTACTGCTTACCCCCAAGGAGGCCAGGACCAGCCCCACAGCACCACTGACCCCAGAGGAGGCCAGATTCAGCCCCATGGCATCTCTGACTCTGGGGGAGGTGCAGATGCTGGTGGAGCTCTTCTACCTGCCCTACCATCATGGACCACTGGCGCAGCATCTCCTGGAGCACTTTCGGTGGCTCCGGGCAAACAGCCTCAGCGTGGGGGTTCCGGTCACAGCACCCGATGACTGTGAGGTAAGGCTGGTCCGGGCGCTGCTGCTGGATGGTGCCTGTCACGGTTGCACTGACTCCCAGTCTGTTCACAGGGCATGCAATGGCGCGGCCGAGCCCCGTACTTCCAGCTGCTCTGTGCTCAGACATGCCGCCTGCACAGCCGCTTCGTCAGCAGCGCCAGCCGGGCGCTGCTCTACGACCTCCACCCCTACCTCTGGGACATCCGCAACATGCTGCTGGCTGCCAGTGCCTTCGTCCTCTGGCTGGGTATGTGGCTTATGCCAGCCCCGAGCCAGCCCCTGTGGCCCCATAGTGGGTATTTCCACCCTGGCCAAATCCAACCATGTTGAAGTGCAGGGGCCCCTGAGCACTGTGGCACACCCAGGGCATCTGAAGTTTGTTCTGTGGTGATCCACTGTTTTCCCCCTCCAAAGAGGTGCAGGTGTCTGGGACCCCCTCCCAGAGGTCTGGGGTCCCCGTGTCCAGCCGGGGGTGCCAGGGTCTCTCCTGGGAGTGCACCTCCCCTTGATACCTTCCCAGCTGCTGACCCATGTCCTGTGCTCACCACCTCACCTCCTTTGCAGATGGCCACCTCCTCTGTGACCCTGACCCCAAGGGCACCTGGGGAAGCTGCTTTGGCTGTAAGTACCGGTGCTGCCCTGGCTCACCTGCCTGGGCAGTGGGGCCCTAGCTGCTGCCCTCCATCACCTCCAGCTCCGCAGCAGCAGCCAGCACTGGCCATTGGGCTGCCCTTTCCCATGCTCTGCCTGCTGAGAGG